CTTGATGGGCTGATCGGCCTAATTCTGGTCCTATATCTTACGGTCTTATGGAAGCTCAGACTGAGGTTATGAAAATTTGCTTGTTGATATTGTAACTGGTCATTCAACAAAAATCCATTCAGTTTAAAAGAAGCCAACATTTAAGGGTAAAAGCTATTTGTGATAGGGAATTTTCAGAAATTGGCAAAACTCTTAGATTTGTATAGGATATGGAAAATCTGTCATGCACATTCTGCCTGACATTTTTAGTGCACAGGCAACAAACACACAATTAGGAGGCACGTACAAACTATTGAGTTGTACTTCTACAGATTAGGAGCCACTCATCTGAAAAGGCCCCACATTCCTTGCAAATGCTAATCCTAGAGAGGTTTTAGAGTAAAACAAAACTGACATAACCAGGATAATCTCCCATCAAAACTGTAGTTATATGTTAATAGTCTGTTCCATAAAGTGTAACAATGTCAAATATGTTACGGGTATGAATTTTAAGTTTTTAAAGAATATGTTTTTCAGTACAGTGGTGGCAGCTGAACTGAACATGGGCAAAGCTGTAGCTGAAAACAATGAGCTCTCAAGGACTCGCGGCTATGAAACTGAATGAACTTCAGGAAAGGAACAGGGTATTTGTGTGTTTGTTTGTAGGTCTTTAATTATTCTAAAAGGTAAGCATAGTTTGTAAACTTACCAACATTACAATAAGCAATGAAAAGTGTGGTGAGTCTGTCACTTTCTCCACCTAGATGGGTTCGGGCTGAATCTCAGAGACAGGATGATCAGCGGGAGGTGTAGTTTTAGTTACCACAACATGCCAGCACAACTTAGTGCAATAGACGCTCAGACTGCTCACACCATAGCTGTGGATACTACTGTACGATGGTACCTTCAGGCTCTCAGCAATTGCAAATAGCTCCAGTAGATTACTAGAATCAATGAGGTGCTGCCCAACCAAGTGCTAGTGGTCCCATGCTACACAAACCTGCTGTGCCTTCTCAGGATGGCAGGCTCCATAGTCCAACATGCCAGTCTGTCAATGCTATTGCTATTGTCTGTCAGCAATCAGCCTAGAGTACCACCATCCATGTCAAGGTGGTACAGTCCAAAGCTGGGCAGATAAAGCCCACAGGAACCTAAGGGTGTCCTGCCAGGCCACCTGCAGTCTCCTCCAGTAAAAGTTAGCAAGATCCCACCAGCTTTCTTGCAGCCACAGGAGTAGGACTGCATAGGAGCAGGAGGCCAGGCACAGACATCCACAGAACAGGCAACATAAGAATGAATTAGAGTGCACAGTTCAGTTTGCAGTTATTGTTGGATAAAGTTGGCACGGAATGATTTTTTTTGGCAGCAGCTTTGACATCATGACTTTAGCAATCACATTCAGCAATGGTCAACTGCTGAAGGCTTTAAAACTTGAAACTGTGAAAATATGGGGATGAAACTGGAGATAAAATAGACTCCACTCACACACAGCCTGTCTGCAGTGAATGGGTCCCAGATACCTCCTCATCCTCGCTTTCCTTTCTTTTTCTTCATCCTCCTTTTCCTGTTCTTCCTCCTCTGTGTGAAGTGCCCTCCGTGTGTTTCATAGTAAAAAGTAGCAGACCACTGTAAACATGAAGACTTACTGTAGTGAGTAATGGTGGCTACCAGCCGAGTGCTCCTGGCATCAGTTCAGGGTGCTGATGGTTTGCTTCCTGTTTCTGCTAGAAGCTTGGCTGTCATAGTGAGGCTGCCACTTGTGATTGGTGGAAGGTGGCAATCATGAGTAGGCAACTTCTACTTTGACATAGTGGCCCAACAATTTTGGGAAATGGCATATGATCACTGTGTCTTGGTTGCTAGTGGCATAGCTGATATTCATCAACAGGATCCTCCAGGTAAGGTGCACACCAACTGCAAGGTCATGGAGTACTTATCCTTATGGTTACAGCATATCTCTCCATTAGACTCTGTGACCCACAGAGTCACATGCATACAGTCAATGGTTCCCAGCTAGCTTGGCGAAGCCTAATACCTATTTCCTCTGCTCCTGAAGTAAGAGAGTAGATTTTGAAGATCTCTCTCCTCCTGTACAGAGTTTCTGTCATAATATTAATACAGTAATGCAGGGTGAACATTGAAATGCCAAAAATATCACCTGCTCCCATGCAGAAAAGTCTCTTGGCATAGAAATTGACCATGATGATTTTCATGGTTGCTGGCAATGTCTTTTCTCTTGGTTTGTGGCTTTGGTTCAGTCACAGAAGGTGGCACAGCTCAGTGAGCACCAACTTGGTGAACTGTGACCACCTCAGGCAGTACTTTTGAAAGAGTGGGTAGTAGTGGTGGTCCATTCTTCTATCCAAGAGCACTTCTTCCCCCTTCCCTCTTTGGTCATCTTGTCTTTTCTGCTGCCTGTGCTCTCTCCCCAAGTTATGCTGCAGTCCCAGAACATAGTAATTCAATTTTTACGTTACTGGCAGGCTTTCTAGCCCCTCCTCACCCAACTCCAGTGCTACTTCTTTGTAAATCCAGAAGCTTTCCAAACTCCTTCAAAAACATTGTGCACAGCATTTCCATTCATTCTGCAGCAGCAAAGGAAAGCGAAAAGCAAATCATTTGAAGGCCTCAAGAGATCCCTTTAAATTGCATTCATGGGGAGTGGGTCCCTTATTTGGGAGTGGTTAAGTGAGGATGCTAACATTACCTGAGAGATCCAAAATGGCCATTTGTCATCTAATCAGCATCTGTCACTGTTTGACATTTACAGTTTGCGTTTCATTCCAAAGGCTGAAAGCCCTGCTCCTAGGTTTGACCTTGCTTCAGAATGTCTCCCAGAACTCCCCCAGAGAGCTGGCACAATTCAGCAACACAATCTAATTCTTGACATGTCACATGGGTAGTTGCTGAAAAATGTCTGACTGATACTTTTGAAGTTTCTGGATCTGACAGGGTGGTGTTACTGAGCCATTTTTTTTCAGTCATAATATGTACTTCTAATCTGATTAGATAGTTATGGTTCTGATAACTGAGTTGGCCGTGGGTCTTTGCACCAAGGGAACTTACCAAGCAATTCTTCCATGTTGGTTTGAGAAAAATTGGCTAGTACATATTATTTAAAAAATAAAGACTTGTCAGTGAGTCCAGTTGCAATCCACTCTCCAGGCTCAGATGATGGTTACGAAGCAGTTGGATTAATATCTGTGATATATTCACAGACTCAGGATAATTCAGCATGTTATTTAAGCTTTCTCACATTAATGAACTTGTAAACCCCTGCATCAATTTATTTTATTACAATGCTTTCAGCACTTTCAGTGCCTTTAAATCACAAATATCTTTTGTGCAGTTGAAAGATATTTTTAGATTTTAAGTTAATTAAACATTTAATAAAAGAATGTTTTTAAAGGAAGTTAATTATATGCTGTATTAATGAATTTTTAAGAGTGTAGCTGACGAAGTGTTTTTAAAATGGAAAGATCTTCATTCCGTTTGAAATGGGAAAAAGGAAAATATCATTTTTGACACACAATACAATAATATATTCCAGGGGAACTTCTGTTATTTCATTGTGTATCTGGAAATAAATGAATTACATACTGCAATTTTTCAATTAAGTCAGTATTGCTTTAATTGCTATGTGCTGACTGTAAGTGGTAAAATGATAACTTGGTCTACTTGCAACCTTCAGCAGTTTCATAAGCTGCTGAAACAATCAAGCATATATAATACCTCATTCCACCACCCCCTCTCGTGTAGATTAATCATTTATGTTTTTTTTTGAAATTCCAATTAAGCTATTCCAAAGGTCTCTCATTTAATTTTATTTCGTTGTTGTGGACAATGCTAAATAGTACAGTTGCTCTGCTTAAAGTGTTGAGTTAAGTTTGATGATTAAACAGTGGCAGGGCTGAGCAGCCTGGGAGCTCCAGCGCTGGCATGGTCTGGTAGTTTCAGTGGTATACAATCTGGTAACCTCAGCAGCATAGTGAATTACTTATTCCAGTGGATAGATCCAAATAATAATTATCATAGAACCTCTACAGTGTGGAAGCAGGCCATTCAGACCAACCCTCCAAAGAGCATCTCACCCAGACACAACCCCCTACCTTACCCCTGTAACCCTGTATTTCCCATGGCTGATCCACCCAGCCCTTACACCCCTGGACACTATGGGCAATTTAGCATGGCCAATCCAACTAACCTGTATATCTTTGGACTGTGGGAGGAAACCGGAGCACCCAGAGAAAATCCACACAGACACAGGGAGGGCATACAACTCCACACAGACAGTGACCTGAAAGTGGAATTGAACCCAGGTCCCTAGCGCTGTGAGGCAGCAGTGCTAACCACCGAGCCACCATGAAATGGTGAAAAGCTAGATATTATTGAAGGTCAAAGATCACAAAAACGTAGCCGTTGGGTATTAAATAAATGAAAAAGGTGAAACAAATACTAACCCTATGGCAAAGAAAATAAATAAAGAAAGTTCAACCTCAGCTTTTTACCTTTTGCTTGTTCATTCACAGGATGTAGATATTTTTGGCCATCATTTATTAACCATCCCTAAGTGCCCTTGAGAAGATGGTGATGAGCTGCCTTCTTGAACCACTGTAGTCCATCACATGTAGGTACACTCATAATGCTGTTAGGAAGGGAGTTCCAAGATTTTGACCCAGCAACACTGAAGGAATAGCAAATGTGGTCCCAAGTCATGATGGTGCATAGCTTGGAGGCCGAACTCGCAGGTAGTTGGTCCTACAATTTGTCCTGGATGTTGTCGTTTTTCTTGAATGTTGTTGGAGCTGCACCCATCCAGGCAAGTACAGAGTATTCTATCCTACTTCAGACTTGTGACTTGTGAATGGTGGACTGCTATATAAATTCAAGTTCTTATTTTAACTGATGAAACAAGTTATTATTATTAAGGGAAGGTGAAGAGGGTTATTGCTAAATGCCATTGCTGCATAGGAAGATTTTGAAGATCAACAAGACAAGTATAAGAATAAAAACGTACTTACTGTAAGAATCCATACTCCGTCAGGTTTCTCCCCCCAAAAATGGACACTCATGAATGTCCAGTTTTTTAGTCCTGCTTGGCTATTATCGTTGGAACGGACTGCAAGAAGCTTTGATTTGGTACCAAACGGAGACATGACAGAAATTTCAAGATCACCACGACAGATGCTTGATAGGGTGACAGTCACCTGAAAAAAAAATTAAAAGCATTTATAAAAAGTGACAACGCAGTCTACTCAATACTAAGGGTTCGCTAGTTCAGTTGTCTGGACAGTTGGTTTGTGATGCATTGTGATGCCAACCATGTGGGTCCAATTCTTATTGGCTGATGTTACCATAAAGGACTCTCCTTCTCAACCTTTTACCTTGCCTGTGATGTGGTGATGCTAAGGTGAAACCACCACCAGTCCTCTCGCTCTGTGGAGAAAGAAAGCCCTATGGTGACTCAATACTGGAAGCTGCTGAGACAAAAGGATTTGCTAGGTGTGTAAAGCATTTATGCCAGCAATGTCTAAATGATTAATGACTCTTATCAATTTGTGATGGCCTCTTATGCTTTTGGAAGGAAGGAGTTGAGAAGTCAATCCCTTCATGAGAGATTTTAAGAATGTGAGTGGGAAAGGACTGAGAGAAATAAAGAAAACAAAAACATCCATAACTAAGTCCAAGAAATCTCCACCCTTAAAAGACCAACAGGTTAATCTTTCAATTTTTAATAAGTATCTGATTTGAACTTTGAGAGAGTAAGTCAAATGGATGTGGAAGAAAATTTGAGTTGACAAATTTGGGTTAGAAAATAAATAACTATATCAATTATACTTTTAATGTCGTTCATGGAACTAACCATTTAAGTTGAAGAGTATTTATGATACTTATGTTCTTTGATTTTTGGTCAGTAAAATTATTTTGATTTAAACCATGAACTTTATGGGCTTCATTGGTTTGCTGAATATTTAGGTTTGTGGATTCTAAAAAAACAAAAGAAAAACACATTGCTATTTACTACTAAGATCGTACTAATTGGTGGTTTTGTCTGGATTCTTAACAAATTCACCTGGATCTTGTCCCATCGCTGCTACGTTGAATTACCACTACAGATAACTCCGAGTGTTACCACTCAACCTGTCAGGTAGAACTTTTATCTTCATATGTGAAAGCCAAATCCAAAAAATTGATAAACAATATCCTGGCATTCTTGTTGCTCACTGTGTCCCTTGAACATTCTGAGACCTTTGATTTATACTTAATCATTCCTTTATTGTATTATTATTCTCAAGGTAAATTTATGCCATATGTTGTCCAGCACAAACATCAAATCTCAGTCTGATTTGCTACGTCACCTGAACTGACATGCATTCATGGTGGGGGTTTAGTGGTGAAGCAAAATTATTGCATCTGAAGCCAATGCAACACCAAAGAACCATTATGCAGCTTGGTACTGCAATACTATTCAAAATCTCCTTGTGTAGAAGCTGGAAAAGCCTGAATACAGGTGGGAAACGGTGCAGTTACTGCAGAGTATCAGAGGTCAGTCTGAGGATTTCCTGAAATTAGTCCTCAGGTCTCATCTTAATGAGGACCAGCTCACAGGGACTAGTTTGGGTCACTGCTTTGCTTCAAAGACTCATGTAGCTCCTGAGGGCTGGGGGAGGAGGGGAGTGGGAGGGGATACAAATGTTTTTCTCGATCACTTGGAGGCTTCAACTCCATTCAGTACGAACATTCTTTCATTACAGGTTGCAATGCTAGAAAAAAAAACCTACTAAAATTTTGGACGGATTTCAACAGAACCAACTCTGAAAATCCCATGGGAGCTGTTGACATCAGAATGTCGGTGGTCAGATATCAGGGAATACAGATATAGAAGTACATTGTGCCACCACTATTTATTCCTTTCAATTCTTACCTGTTAAACTACAAAATGATAGAATAAAAATAGAATGTTTCTGCCAGTTAGAAAACGTGTTTGCGGGGATGCACCCTGGTTCTTGGTAGTCAAGGATGTAGTGTACCAACATTACATTGAAGAAATAAATAATATCCAAGGCAGCAGGGCAAAATGATATGGAATTGGCTGTCATACACCACACCTAATATTGCTACATATATTCAGCGACCAAGCCACTACCGTCTGTTTCCACCAGCCCTCAGAAATGAATTTTCACTCCAAAACGTGTCAGTGATCAGCAATGCCATTCTGGTGCAGTTGTTTTTTCTTCAGAGGTTGGTGTTGGCAGCAGATGTAATTTTCTGAGTATGTGTCAGTGGCAGAGAATATTCTTATCTATTCGTGGACATAGACATGCTGTCTATCTCGAGCAGCAAGAGTGGATGTGATTCCCCACCGCAGGTACATCAGTGGAAAATAGTCCCATGTTAGAACAGTATAGATGCCAGCTTTAACCTGCAATTTGCCTATGCTAACCTGGAAAGCATTCAATTCTCCAGGACTTGTAATTTTCACCATTTAAACCACTTCTCACTCCAGGACTGTAGCTTTAGGACAGACAGTGTACTTCAAATGCACTGTGCTGGAGATAGAAAACTTGTGTCAGCATAGGTTCACGCGGACTGCTTTAACATGTGCTCAAGCTCAATCTCCTGTCACTATTACCATCAAAATGAGTGTACTGCATCAAACAACATATAATTATCCTACATTTGAACACCAGTGGAACCATTATGTTAAGTGTACTGCTGAGAACACTGACAAACCTCACATATGATTGCAACATTGAATTCAGCTTCATCAAAGAGTCAATCTTGTAACCATGAAGGTGCCAGCCAATTGTTTTACCAAGGCATCACTCAGTGAGGGCACTTTATGGATAGAATACTCTGCTGATGCCTCCATGGTTATGGGTTTGCCTCTGGTGAAGATGGACTTAATAGGACCAATTAGGAAGCCATTAGATTTCTTTCTGTACTTTCAACAACAGTGAAAACAAAATAAATATTAAGTCCACACACTTAACAAATATCATTAAGGCAGTGGAACCATTCCAAGGTAAATATATAACTGGGTTAGTTTATGCACACTTATAAATTCTAATTCTACAAATCAAATGCCACAATCTAAAATATGGGGTCTTTTTCTGACGATCAGCATTGATTTCTGATTCAACCTTCATTACTTGTAATGCATGAAGTTGCTTTGGTTTTGATAAACCTGAGATAATAGAAATATTGTAACTTGTATTAACTTGTGGCAGTAATAACAAGTGCAAACTCAGCCTGGTGGGACCACTCTTATCCCTGAGGAGGTTTTTTTTGTGATTCAAATTTCTTTCAATGCATTGAAATTATGAAGTAGGTTGACACTTCAGTGGGAATACCGCACAGTCTGAGTGCCAAATTTCAAATGAAGGTGATAGAATGAAGCTGGACCTTTCTAGTACAGGTGGTGTCATAGAGGTCTGTAGCACAGAAGAAAAGCTCTTCAGCCCTTTGAATCTGTGTTGGTCAAAAATAACCACCTAACTTGAGGGCAGTTCAGTAGCTCATTGGTTAGCACTGCTGCTTCACAGTACCAGGGATCTGGGTTCGATTCCAGCCTCACGCGGCTGATTGGAGTTTGCACATTCTCCTCATGTTTGCATGGGTTTCCTCCCACAGGCCAAAGATGTACAGGTTATTTGGACTGGCCAGGTTAAATTGCCCATAGTTTCTAGGGATTTGCAAGCTAGGTGGATTAGCCATGGGAAATACAGGGTTACAGGGATGGGGTAGGGGGTCAGGTTTGAGTCGGGGGCTCTCTGGAGCAAATAACCTGCTTCCACACTGTAGGGATTCTATTCTAATTCCATTTTCCAGCACTTGGCTCATAACCATGTATTCATTGGCATTGCAAGTGCACATCTAAATGCTTTTTAAATGTTGTGAAGGTTTCTGCCTCTATCACGCTAACAGGCAGTGAGTTCCAGTTTCTCGCCATCTTCTGGCTGAAAATATTTTTCCTCACATCCTCTCTAAACATAGATATAAGGTAAAAAAAATCTACCTAAGACATCCTACGGGGCAGGTGGGCAGCACAGTGGCTCATTAGTTAACACTGCTGCATCATAGCGTCAGGGAGCTGGGTTCAATCCCAGCCTTGGGGTGACTGTCTGTGTGGAGTTTACACAATCTCCCATGTGTCTGTGTGGGTTTCCTCTCACAGTCCAAAGATGTGCAGGTTAGATGGATTGGCCATGTTAACTTGTCCCATAGTGTGCACGCTAGATGGATTATCCATGGGAAATGCAGTGTTACAGGGATTGTAGGGTGTCTTAGGTAGATTAAAACCATGTGTAACTACTGGGTAACTGTGCAACAGAATCTCTGATTCCTAAGAATCTAACCCAAGTAGACCTCACTATCTGAACCCCCATACCTGAAAACCCCTCTCAAATCAACCTGATTACTGAGCTGTCACCTATCCATTTACCAACTTGCCATCCTACCCCTCTAATATTCTGCCACATTAACCAGCTGCAAACTGCCACAAAACCCACTTTTAACCTTAATAACTGCCACCTGGCCCCTTACACACACGCCCCCCGCCCCCCACCCCGCTGCCCCCCACCCCACCCCCCGCCACCTTATTCCTTCCCCAATTACCTCACCCCGCTCATACACTGAAAAGCGTAAGTCTGTATGGGTGTTCTTCAGAGGGGTGGTTTGGACTTGATGGGCCAAATGGCCTGTTTCAACACTGTAGGGATTCTATGATTCTACATACTAGTTAAATAAATTAGATCTATTTGTCCCAAGGAGAAGGGAAACTGTTGAAAGTTCAAACATCTTGAAGAAATTCCTTACTGAGTCATCATTTTGGGACATCTGAAGGGCGCTGAGGTATATACATGGTCATGTAGCTGATGTCAGACTATGCAGAGACTGGAAGATCTGGGTCAATATATATGTTTAAGGTTTCCTGAGATCAACATTAACTGCTTTGTGGTTCAACCAACATCCTATAAGATCTAAATAGGATTTGATTATGGTTTACCAGGGCAGCACATTACTATAACTAAAGAATATCTCAAAAAACATTTTTAAAAAAGACTCACATTAAAATACAACAGTTCAGTTTCACAGCTCATATTCTGATCGCTGTGTGGACCAATAAAAAGATTTGAAATAAAGTTATTATTGTTATATCGATAATTATATGTAATACTGGATCAGCTATTGCATTGAAACAAAATTTATGATTACTAGGTTTCTTTATTTGCAATCAAAAATAAGGAGCATAGTGATAATTATAAATAAATATGATTGCTGACATGGCAATTTTTAATTCCTCAATCTAAACATTTAATAGCTTCAGAATGGCTGGTTTACCTATCAGTGAAAATTTGACAAAACAGCTATTTATACATGCAGCCTTTTGGACAATTTTTCATATTTTGGTTGCGTTACACATAAAGGATTCCATTATGAGTCACTGTAACCTGAATATACTGAATTGTACAAGTTTCCAATTGCTGCAACGTATAACCAACAAAGAATTAACAGACAACACAGAATTTTTGCCATTATAGGACAGCAAAATTATCTATTAATGTTGAGACAAAGCGTTTTGACCAGACATAAACTAAGTTATGTCAGCCACTGACTGCTTCATTTGTTGGGACATAAAATATTGCCCGATTGCTTAAAACTGTGTTTAATGGTGACTCTCTCACCTGTACATGCTCGAGTGTGTCAATTGCATTCCTTGTACCCATGCACGCATTTGTTGTTAGATTCAGTGTCAGAGAACCTTTCACGGGGATAGCTCTAGAGGGTTCAACAGAATAGAGGAAAAGAAAGAAAAAAACAATTTTAGAGAAACAGCAGAGTTAAATGATGGCACCAAGGCATTCTTCAGTCATTTAGGGAGAATTAATCTAGCACTGTCAGATGGTGTCCCTGCCTTTTCCTTAAATCTTTCAAATACTCTGTCTTTTTTTTAATCTCTTCAGAGAAACAGGCTTGAAAGTGAGATGCAGGTCAAGGCAATAATTACCTGCTGCTCGGGATGCTATCTGATGGGCCTGTATTACATTTGCAGTCATGCATTCTCCAGTCATTGGAGGCTTCATGTTACCTATTCTAGTCACATCATTTTCTGCTGATGACAGCACCATTCTTTCATCTACCACATTTACATTTCAAAATACCAGTCAGTTGGTATTGATTCATTATTAACAATAACGGTCACTTGTAGGAATGATCAAGTTTCAGTTCCAGATTATTGTCCTCTTAAATTTCCACACTCTCTTCTTTTATATATGCCCACTTCAAAATTGATTAAAGATGCCTTTTAGAGCTGGATATTATGTGCAAAAGTTAAATTACATGAAATGTTGGTAGGATCCCACAGATCAGAGATGTGCAGGTTAGGTGGATTGACCATGTTAAATTGTCTGAAATGTCCAAGAATGTTTAGCCATGGTAAATGTGGAGTTACAGGGATAGGTTAGGAAGCTGGATGGGATGCTCTTTGGAGGGTTGTTCCAAACTCAATGGGCTGAATGGCTGAGGGTGGCATGGTGGCTCAGTGGTTAGCCACTGCCTCACAGCACCAGGAACCAGGGTTTGATTCCAGCCTCGGGCGACTGTTTGTGTGGAATCTACACATTCTCCCTGCATCTGCATGGGTTTCTGCCAGGTGCTCCAGTTTCCTCCAACAGACCAAAGATGTGCAGGTTCGGTGGATTGACCATGCTAAATTGCCCATCGTGTCCAGGGATGTGCAAGTTAAGTGGATTAGCCATGGGAAATGAAGGGTTACAGGGATAGGGTAGGGGCTAGGACTGGGTGGGATTCGGTTCCGAAGGTCAGTGTAGACTTCATGGGCTGAATGGCCTGCTTCCACACTGTAGGGATTCTATATAAACATACAAATTAGGATTGGAGTAAGCCATTCATCCCTTCGAGCTCTGCTCTGTATTTGTTAAGATCATGGCTAATCTGAATGTGGCATCAAGTCCAATTTCCTGTCTACTCCCATATCCTATGATTTCCTTGTTGATCACGAATCTATTTAAAGAAACTATAAAAAGCTATTCAATGGGCCTGCCTCTGCTGTTCTCTCTGGAAAAGAATTCTACAGATCACTGATGTGCAGATTGAAAATTAATTCTCATCTTTATTTTAAATGGAAGAACTTTCATTTTTACTCTATGTTCCTTAGTTGTAATCTCTCTCAAAATGGGAAATAACCCCTCAGCACACACCCAATCAAGTTCTCTTAAAATCTCACACATATCAATAAGATCACCTCTCATTCTTCTAAATTCCAGTAGATATAAAACCAATATCTCCAACCTTCAAAAGTAAACCTCATCATAAAATTTCAGAATCCCTATTGTGTAGAATCAGGCTATTTGGCCCATCAAGTCCACACTGCCCCTCCAAAGAGCATCCCAGCCAGACCCCTACCTTATCTCTGTAATGCTGCAGTAACCATGGCTAATCTACCTAACCTACACCTCCCTAGATACTATAGGCAATTTAGCATGGCCAATCCACCTAACCTGAACATCTTTGGTCATCTCAGGAATCAATCAAATACATCTTTTCTGAATTCTGAAATCTAATGTAACTAAATCTGTATTATTTATCCTGATATTAGAATTATAATTATTCCTTTGGTAAGAAGACCAGAAGTGTACATAGTACGTGAGATGTGGTCTTCACGATGTCCTAAACAATTGAAGCAAAACTTCTCTATTTTCATATTCCATTTTCCTTGCAATAAACATTATTCCATCTACCTTCCTAATCACTTGCTGGACTTACAAACTAACATTTTTGTGACTCATGTGCCAGGACAACCAGATCGTTTTATAACATGGAGTTCTGCACTTTCCTCCATTATTTACCCCTTTACTACTCATCTTGTATGATGAAAAAGAGAAGTCATCATGAAACAGGGATGATTTAAGGAGGGCTAGTTTGATTACTCAGGGCATATGTCACCAAAGGAGCAAAGTCGCAATTGTGCAATTCCAACAGCAACTACCTGATGATGATTGTTTCTGAGGTGACAATGAGGGTTTTTGCACAAAAGTGAATTTATTGTAAAGCAACTATCAAAGCCCAAGTAAACTGCACAGCTTACATTAAGATAGGAAACACACAGTTTTTTTTATCTCATAGTCCAAGAGTTGAATAATGGTGTAAAACTTTGAAGTACAACACATACTAAAACAACTGGGATGACTGAGGATGTGAGTAGGCGGAAGGTGTTACCAACTGGTCACCACTCCACAGACTAATTAGCCACTTGCTTCTAGTTGAATCACACAACTTCTGATGATAGTTTGTCTGCAACTAAAGTTGCCCCACTGGTTGAACAAACAACTGGGCAAACAGCATGCACAATAACTGCTGGTAGTGCAGCAATCCTTTTCACAATCCTCATTTTTTTTAAACAGTCCTTTTTCCCATTTCAGTTTACAATCAAAAATGCAGAAAAATAAAAAAAAAATGGAGTTTTCACATAAGCCCCCAGGAGGGCAAAGAAAACACTTGACGCCCTCAAAACCTCTTTGAAAAAGTACAACATCCCTATTGCCACCTGGGAAATCATGGACCAAGGCCATACAAAGGAGAGGAATAGCATCTGGGAAGGATCTGTACACCCCGAGTCTTATCCCAATTGGCAAGCTGAAGTCAAGTTTCAACTGACAAAGGGGCATGGGACAATCTGGGCATCCCACCCTCCCATTCCCCTGCCCTAGCTGTGACAGAGACTGTAGCTCATGCATAGAACTCAAAAACCACCTGCAAATGTATTTTTCACGTGGAACGAAGTCATCTTCAACTACAAGGGCACGCTGAAGAAAGCAGAATTCCCCTTAGTGCACTTGTTAATCACTTATTGGGAACAGCTCATCCATGGAGCAGGTTAGTGACTACTGAGCTGAGGTGAGACAGCATGTGGCTTCCAAGGTAAAGTGCACATGGGTTTGCTTGAGGCAAGGTCTATAATCATGGAGTCTGAGGTCACGGAAGTACACAGCGTTGCCCTATACAGTTGCATGCATTTAGCACAAACAGAAGGTACACAGTTTGGTACATGCAGGAGGTGAAATAGAAAAAGTATGCAACTTAAACAATGCAATGATGTGCATCCCCAATAGGAAGCAGCAGGCTTACAGTTAGTAGGTTTTTAAAAAAAACATAAAAAGAAACAGGTGTAAGTAGGTTACAAAGCCTGGAAAGCATTCACAATAAGGTTTCAGGTCTGATGAAGAGTCATGTTGGACTCAAAATGTTAACTCTGTTTCTCTCTCCACAGATGCTGCCAGACCTGCTGAGCTTCTCCAATATTTTCTGTTTGCATTTAACCATTAACCTAGCATCTTCCTGTCTGGAAATGACCTCCTGTTCCATATTAGAACCACTCTATCCTTGGTCCTGTATTGATTTCTATCGAAAAATATTCTCCTTTGTTGTGTGAGGTTGTGATGATGCTGCTGATGATGTTAGTGAAGCTGTCTGGAATGTACTGCATTGTACCAACTCTGTGATCCTAGCAGTCCAATCACATTCTGAGCAATCCTATCATTTGCTCAATGATGGCCTTTGTGGAGGTATATGTAGCATGGTATTTCTCCTCAGCAGAAGTCTAAGGATTCTGCATTGGTGTCTTCAGCCAGTTCTTCTGTCTGTCAGCTTTGTCACCTTGCAGCCAGTCGTGCAATCGATGAGGAATATTAAAAACTTTAGCCACTTGTGAATCCTCCAGGTTGTAGGGATCATGTGAGCTTCTTGGATGTCAGATGCTGAGGCAGAGCATTTCCTGGAATGTTCCCATGATAGCTGTAAATTAACTACGTGTTGCCAGGGAGTTCTGATAGCAAAATGCATCCAACCTATAGTAACTTGCATCTGTGGCAAACCTGATATTGCAGTATCACTCCACAGCCCCGGCTGCCTGGCATCCTGCAGCCAAGGGGCCTCACAAATTATTTTGCAAAAAGAGCATACCTTCCCTATGCACTTGTTAATTGCTGACTGGGAGATTCCATGGAGGTCTCCAGTGGTGTTATAGAGTCATGAAGAATTCAGAGCTGAGGTGACCCACAAGGCAAGTGGTGTGGGATTGCTTCCCAATTCCTGAGGTTGTAGTTCCTCTTCCAACAGCTGGCATTTGTAGGTCACAGCCTCCCTAACACCCTGAGATGTCTTGATAGTTGCCAGTTGTCAGTCAGTTGTAGGTCCCGTTTCTGCCCATTATCCTTCATTGCGATGGTCTCTAGCTGCCTGGATCTTGCACCTTCTGCAGACTGCATCTGCTGCTGCTAATCTTGTATCCTTTTGCGTTGGTTCCTCCTCAGCTACATAATGGCCAGAGGGAGCCTAGGTTTCTTCTCTGCCATAGTAGTGTTGGTTTCAGAAGATCTTGAATACAGCTCATATTGATCCATAGCATTTCTATTTTCTTTGAGTTTTGTTCTCTAACCCTCCTTCTTGATGTCAATGCCAAGCTTTAGAGTGAGTGTCTGAACTCCTACCTACTCAACGTGGCCACCATGCTGAGGGCCATCCTGTGTGGCCCCAGAGGACAGCTTATTGCACTAAAACAGTCATGTGAATGGACATATTGCACATTGTCTGGATATTTAAACCGTATCAAGCATCTTTCTTGATGAAATAGTCAGCTTCCTTTCAGTGAAACTGGAAGCCAATACTGTAACCTTGTTATCCTCGTGAAAGCATGAGCTTCCAACTAGGATTCTGGTCCTGTAGACAGTTGTCCTTTGCCACACTGGCCCCTTAAGATTGCATCTTTTCTCCCTTCTTTCACAGTTTTTTCCACATCCTAGAAGTCACAAGATGCTAATCAGCTCATAACCTACCGTGGCTGCTAGCCATCATGAGGTCAGGCAGCATCACAGGAGCAGGAAAGTCAATGTTTCGGGTCGGGAGCCTTCATCAGAACTCCTCCAGTCCACACTGTATTGACTCTGACTTCCAGCATCTGTAGTTCTTGCTATTTCCTAGCCATCATGAGGTCTTGTTGCATCTGATGACTTTGAGTTCTGGATGAATGTTGATTCATTGGGAGTGGCACTTAGCTGTGCACAATTCTTCAACTACTGGTTTAATAATCAACAGTACACACCTTTAATCAGCCAAAGGTTTCTAAGCATGAACTCCACCTACCCAAAAATGGCCCTCCCCACTTTGCTTTTTTGTTTCCAATTGCAGCTACCTTATGACAAGATGGATCATTTCATTTTCACTTGAAGGATCAGTACGCTCCATGCTCCCCTTGTAATCCACCAACACGCTCCCACTATCTTTCATCCACACAGCTTTGTGACTCCTGTGACCATGGAACCTTCCTTCATTTCTGTTGATCCCATTACTGTCTATATTGTTTTTCCTACATCCCCCTCCACCCAAACCCATAACTATTGATGTCCCAGCAATGATTCCTTACTGGAATGTTCTCCTTTCTGCAACACAGCAAAGGATCAGATTCAATGCTAAGTTTCAAAAGGGATAAATACTTCAAGATTACAAAATTATAGGCTATGGGGAAAGAACACAGAAGTGGGATTTATTGGACAGCTCTTCCAAACAGTCAGCATAGACATAAGAGATCAAATTGCCTCCTTCTGCATTTCGGAATTAGAAAGGATATTGTGTCACTGTGAAGGTCAAAGTGGCCTGAAATGTTGGAAAGTTCTTGCCTGCATACTACAACGAAGGAATTCTAATTTCTTAAAAGTGAAATCCAAACACATAAATTCAAAATAAAAACAAGACATGCCACCATAGAAAAATAACAACAACTGATCAATTTCCTCAAAAAGAGGGGCAGATTGTAGCAATCTGTTTCCTGTCTAGTTCTGAACTCAAAATGTTGACTCTAATTTCTCTCCACAGATGTTGCCAGCCCTGCTGAGTTTCTTCAGCAATTTCTGTTCTTGTTTCTGATCCTGTCATGTAGTGTTTAAGCTGTAATAATTGGATAGAGATCATAAAGGGGAAGCCCTGGTCAATTTTGCCTCTCTAACCCCAGAAATAGTGAGATCAGTTATAATGCCCAGATAGAGATAAGCTAACCGAATGCAAAAGTAGTCAATCTTGAGGTTTAATGCATTTTTTGCTATTTCTGGTTTAATTGTGTTGTAGCTAACAGAGTGATAATGCGCAGAGAATCTACATTGTGATGTGATTGAGGGTATATATTGGCTGGGACGCTTCCTTGATCTTCCTTGACTTAGTGCACAGGACCTTTTATATTCACCTTAGTAGGCAGGTGAGACATCTGTTTAATATATCACCTGAAAGATGCCACCTCCGACAGCACAGCACTCCTGCAGTACTGCACTGGAAGCGTTAGCCTTGATTTTTATGCACTCAAGCCCTGGCGTAGGAATTAATCTGGAAGAGGTTTGGAGATGAGAGTGTTGCCAACTGAGTTACATGTAGCTTCACTTCCACAATTACACTGCTTGCAAAGCCAATACTAACACTATTGTTCTCTGATTTAATTGTATCCCTGGCCTAGGTTACCTTGGTAACCATAGAACCTTTCTATACCACAAGACTGTTTTATTTTTAGACTAAAATTAGCATTCGTTGATCTGCAGGGTGTATTATCATTATTACTTCTGACTAATATATATTTGTAACTGTATGGATGATTTGATCTACTTTCCCTAGAACTGGACTCTCCATTCCCTCCCTCCTCCTTAAGCTTGAACACATGCTAAGAAAGCTTCTCTGAACACACTTCTGAAACTCTTGCCTCTCCCTCACCTTGACATGTTTACTATCCTAGTTTATATTAGAATGATGAAAGTACCTTACTTATGCTACTCTGCAGTTTTTGCACCGCACTATAACTTTGCTGCAGATTTGCTCCTCCATGTCTTCACACGAGTTAGCAGCCATCTATTACATATATATTCAGTAGTGGTCCATTACCCTTGCAACTTAACTCTACCCAATTAGAGTCCTTGGCCCATCCAGGACATCCTCTTTCTGAATGACACTGTAATATTCTTCTTAACCAATATTACCACCGATTCTCGTTTGTTTCCTTCCCTTTCTTTCATGAAAACCATGCATTCCGGAATATGTAATATCCAGTGTTACCCTTTTGTAAGTGAGTTTTTCATCATGGCTATCATATTTGCTTTGGGCTATTTGTGCTTCAGTTTTTTTTATTTATCACACTCCCTTCACTATCATACTTATGCTGTAAACCTGAAATAATCTTAAATCCGATATCAGCTTATACCTTAGAACGTCTCATGCTAGTACCTTTGTTTCATTCTGTCCTTTGTTCATCTCTTCTTTATTTTGAATGCTACCCATTAATTTCCATCAACCTGCCATGTTTATTTAAATTCTTGCCAATAGGTGTAGCAAGCTGCACATGAGGATATTGTTCCCGACTCTGCTGAGGTGCAATCCATTAAGCACATGATGGCTCTATATTCTCTAGACCAGTCCCAATGTTCCAAGTATCTAAAATCCTCTCTCCTGCACTCTCTCACTAGTTATCCTCCTATTTCTACACACCTAAGCGTGTCTCACCAGGAGGAATCTGGCTATTACTACCTTTGAAGTCCTATTTTCTCGTGACATTCCCAACTTCTCAAAATCTGCCTGCAGAACCTGTTGCTGCCTATGTAGTGATACTGGTATGGTCTACAATCTCTGATTTTCACTTCCACGCTCAGTGTTCTGCAGTTGCTGGGTGACATCTTTGATTCTGTACCAGGAAGGCAACATGCCATCCACGAGACACGTCTCAGGCTGTAGAAATGTTTATCTCTTCCTCTAACACTGAATTCCCCATCACTAATGCAGTCCCAGTCTGGCTCCTGCTTTAAGACACAGATGAGCCAACTTTCATGCCATGGACTTGGCTGTGGTTGTACTCCCCAAGGAGCCATCACTCCCATGTGTATTCAGAATTTGGATGCATGGATTAATTAAGGAAAACCAACATAGTTTTGTTACAGGAAAATGAAATCCTGAACTTTCTGAGAAAAGACACAGAACACAAAGGCAAATAAATTTTCAATAACCTTTATAAACCACCGGTTTAGCATCAGCCAGAGTATTGTATCCAATTCTCAGTACCACTTAAGGAAGATTGTGAAGGTTTCAGGGTGCAGAAAATTAACACAAGACTAGTTCCAGGGATGAGGGACTTCAGTTACATGGCCAGTATTGAGAAGCTTGGGCTATTCTCCTTAGAGAACATAAGATTGAGATGAGATTTGATAAAAATCATGTGGACTGATGTCAGACTGGATAAAGAAAATTTGTTCCCATTCATGATAAAGTTGGGAGTCAAAGGACACCGATTTAAGGTGATTGACAAACATCCAATTGTGACTTGAGGAAAAATGTTTCTTTTATGCAATGCACTGCTTAAGTGTGAGAGGAGGTAGATTCAAATGTGGCATTCAAAAGGGAATTGGATTTGCACCAAGGGAAACAAAAAATCGTCAGGCCGTAAGGAGAGAGTGTGGTGGAGAACGAACTTGAGTTTGCTCGTGCAAAGAGCTGACATTGTGCCATTCTATGATTCTATATTTGAGAATCCAAGCAACTTACTTTTTTAGTTGGCGATTATAATTAACCACACACTTTCTCTGAGGACCCATGCTTTTCCACTCAAGGGCTGCCTTCAATATACGTCCAGCATCAAGCAAACCAAATCCATATCTATAGGATGAAAAAAATTACCCATGTTGAATATGAAGATTTGCCATAAAACAACAATAAGTATGCCACCTAGCCCAGTCACATGATATAGATTGCTAAAAGAAAGACAAGAGACAGTGAATTATTCATGTTCCTTCATTGAGACAGTGGTTAATTTAAATAACCATAAAGACTATTTTACAGCTTGTGTACAGATTCTCTTAAACTCAATTCAATTTTCTGATAAATGCCACGTAACAGTTATTTTGAAGAGAACTTCAGTGACTATTCTTAGTTAAACTAGAACAGAGCTTTTTATTTAGACTCTATTTGACTTCATTGATAACACGAAGTGATTTTCCATCTGTTTCAGCTATGGATCCCCTTCACAGTCACCACTGATGCACATCAGAAAGGTTGGCAATACATTGGTGAGAAACTTGAAATCTCAGTCCATTAAGAACTAGAGATTGTCCATAATTCACATTTGTTTATCAATGCTTCCATCTTGGTGTTTTAAGTGCTCTTGAATTATTTAATTTTGAAATAAAATCAAAAGGAATTGAATAAATATTGACAACATATCTCATTGAATAGAAGCAAGTGTTTGGAATCAATGGATGATTTCTTTTTATTAAAGACTGATTCCTGCAGTTTACAGTCTGACCATCAGTGGCCCACTGTTAATAGGAAGGAAATGACTAATAAATAGTGAGAGCAGGGGGGAAAAACGATTAAGTCAAGAAAACAGCAAGAAAGGTTCATTGAAAATAAAAGACGAAACAGCAGCAGTAGACAGTTTCAATCAGTTTAATACTGCTTTTAATTGCTGCAGTAGCATTTATAACCCCAGGACTAATAAAGATGTTGCTTCTGCTCAAAGACAGGATGAAAATCAACTCTATTTTTAGACCATGAAAATTCCCTTCAAAAATATTACTGAATTTCATTAATATGCGTAATCCATGACCTAAAGGAACACATCTGGAATCTTTGGAGCTGAAGTATGTGCTGGATGTTAATTCTCCTTTGTTGTGACCCCAGCTGATGAAAGTGCTGGGTAATTCAGATCCCAGCGTGAAACCTGGCTTGATAGATCATAAGTTTTACCTTTTCACTGTTTGGTTATCATGGTAGCCTGTCACCAAACATATCCACAAGGCTGCCAATAGTCTTTTAACAAAAGAACATAAGTTCAATACACCAAAGTAAAGAGAAAAACAAAGATATATCTGTATAATTTAGAACTATCTTAACATAATCAGCAAAAACAAACCTTTCCCCACCAATATTTTTGTACACATTCAATCCCAGTGAAGTATGACTTCCATCTTAGTTCCTTTAAGTTCTTACACAACTGACTCTTTCCAGACCTTCTCCTTATAATGCTGAAGCAGCTGGAAATCTCTTTCTAGTTCTGATGGCCTGGAGATTTCTACCAACTGTCATAGTCTGGATACTTCTACAAACTAAATTCTCAAAGCTTGGACACTCAGTGAAACTCAAACTGCTGTTGTCCCTGTATGCCTTCACTTCTTCTGAAATCAACTTGCTTGTGACCTCTGACCATCTGTTCCTGTCGATAATTAAACTTAAATTTGTAAACATACAGCAAGTAAGTAACTGATCAAGTCATTTAGATTAACCCACGTGCGTTCTTGGAAAGGTTGTCTCAAGTTCACTGTTCCAAATGATTTTCTGATCCTATCGTTAAGCAAAAAGCAAGTCACCTTCATAGAATGGAAAACTAAAATCAATATTTACTTCACCCTTAAATCTATGTTCCCAAATAATAACAAATATTTACCACACCATATCATAGCTGAGGGCAACACATTGAGGATGACTATCTATGACCTCCTACTCTCCCCCAAAATCATTCAAGTTTTTTTTATTAGTAAGTTTTATCAGTAAGTTTGCCCATGCTTCTAGAAATTAGTACATATCCATTATCACATAACCTGGATAGTACATCCATATGTACAAAAGGACACAAATGATGTACGAACCTGGTTTAGTAGCTGGACCCCTCACCATTCCAATGTTAGAAAGCAGAACCTACTTTAGATTATGGAAATTTACAAAAGTTTGACTATATTTGGGTCAAATCAAAACTAACCGGTCAAGAAGGCACAACAATGCCTCTTCTTCCTCTGGCAGCTTAGGAAATTTGGCATGTCCATAAGAACTCTCACCAACTTTTACAGATGCACCATAGGAAGCATACTGTCTGGGTGCATAACGGCCTGGTACGGCAACTGCTCTGCCAGGACAGTAAGAAACTACAGAAAACTGTATGCACATTCCAGACCATCATGGAAGCCAACCTTACATCATTGGACTTACACTTCTTGTTGCCGTGGAAAGGCTGCCAACATCATCAAAGACCACCCCCCACCCCAGTAATGGTCTCCTACAACCTTTTCCGTTAAGCAGAAGATAAAGAAGCTTGAACACTCGCACCAGCAGTTTCAAGAACAGCTTCTTCCCTGCCGTTATTCGACTGATGAATGGACTCTCCAACTTCAAATAATGTTGATCTTGTTAATGTTGACCTTGCTTCACCTTGTGCAGCATAACCTGTATGCCTCACTGAGTCTACGCACCTTATGATCTGTATGCCCTTGCTTATTATGATCTGCCTGTACTGCTCGCAAAAACAGTTTTTCACTGTACTTAGGTACACGTGACTACAATAAATCAAATCACAAAATAGTCAATAATCCATGGAACCACACTTCAAAGACTTCTTCCTGATGGAGAATTAAAAACTAAAGAGAACAAGGATATGGAAGAGAATTTGGAGAAATATACTTTGATATCTTGAAAAGTATCCATACTTTTCAAGTATGGTGGTGCTGAACGTCTTAAACTGCATAAAGGTGGATAAATCCCTAGGATCTGATCAGGTGCATCCCAGAATTTTATGGGAAGCTAGGGAAGTGGTTGCTGGGCCTTTTGCTGAGATATTTGTATCATCGATAGCTATGGGGAAGATGCCAGAAGATTAGAGGTTGGCTAACGTGGTGCATTATTTAAGAAAGGCGATAAGTAAAGCCAGGGAACTATAGACCGGTTAGCCTGATGTCAGTGGTGGGTATATTGTTGGAGGGGATTCTGAAGGAGGATTTACATGTATTTGGAAAGCCAGGACTGATTAGGGATAGTCAACATGGTTTTGTGCACGGGAAATCGTGTCTCACCAATTTGATTGAGTTTTTTAAAGAAGTGACAAAGAAGGTTGATGAAGGTTGAGTGGTGGACATTGTTTATATGGACTTTAGCAAGGCATTTGACAATGTTCCTCATGGTAGACTGGTTAGCAAGGTTAGATCACATGGAATACAGGGAGAGCTAGCCATTTGGATGCAAAATTGGCTTGAAAGGAGGAGACAGAGGGCAGTGGTGGAGCGTTGTTTTCAGTCTGGAGACCTGTGAACAGCGGTGTGCTGGATGGGTCAGTGCTGGGTCCACTGCTTTTTGTCATTTATATAAATGATTGGATGTGAACATAGGAGGAACGCTTAGTAAGTTTGCAGATGACACTAAATTTGGTGGTATAGTGGACAGTGAAGAAGGTTATTGAACTTGATCAAATGTGCTGATGGGTGGCAGATAGAGTTTAATTTAGATAAATGTGAGTGTTGTATTTTGGTAAGGCAAATCACGGCAGGACTTACACACTTAATGGCAGGGTCCTAAGGAGAGCTGCCTAACATAGAGACCTTGGGGTGTGGGTTCAAAGTTTCTCAAAGGTGAAGTCAGAGGTAGACAGGATGGTGAAGTAGGCATTTGGTATGCTTGCCTTTCTTGGTTAGTGCATTGTGTATAGGAGTTGGGAGGTCACGCTGTGGCAGTACAGGACAATGCTTAGGCCACTTTTGGAATATTACATTCAATTCTGGTCTCCCTGCGATAGGAAAGATGTTGTTAAACATGAAAGGGTGCAGAAAAGATTTCCAAGGATGTTGCCAGGGTTGGAGGGCTTGAGCTGTAGGGAGAGGCTGAATAGACTGGGGCTATTTTCGCTGGAGCATCAGAGGCTGAGGGGTGACCTGGTAGAGGTTTATAAAGTCATGAGGGGCATGGATAAGGTGAATAGCCAAAGTCATTTTCTCAGGATAGGGGCTTCCAAAACTAGAGTGCATAGGTTTAAGGTGAGAGGGGAAAGATACAAAAAGGACTTAAGGAGCAACTTTTCACACATTAGTGTGGTGCGTGTATTGAATGAGCTGCCAGAGGAGGTGGTGGAGGCTGATACAATTACAACATTTAAAAGGCATTTGGATAGGTATGTGTATAGGCAGTGTTTACAGGGCTATGGTCTAAATACTGGCTAATGGGACTAGATTAATTTAGGATGTCTGGTTGACAATTATAAGTTGGACTGAAGGATCTGCTTCTGTGCCATGTAACTCTATGACACTATGACTCCCTAATTCTAAAGTTGGTTATTGTATCTCTGCTATACAATCTGTATCCTTTGACATTCCATAATTGGGTAAAGCTTAACTATTGTCCTCTTTGAGAAGGCACATTGATTCTCCAAGGGAAGAGAATAGTTGATTCAAAATAGCCTCATATTCTGATAAGGGCTTGCCGAATAAGAAGAAATCACCTTGATCTTTGTCACCAGTATTGTGTGTGGAAATGAGCAGGTAGGGCATTACAATTGGCTTTGTTCATCGCTCTGTTTGTTGACACTGTTTCAGTGAATCCCCTTATTATATTTATAGCAGTGAAAGTCACAGTTTCTGTTGTGTTGATTACTTTTTGCCATAGGGTCCGTCCAAGATCACAGTGGAGATTGCATTGGAATTATTCACAGCACAGCACCCAATTTATTCAGGAGCAAATTCTTTCTTCGTGTTTCCTTCATGCTTCATTCATTTTTACAGAGAAGAACAATAATTGTCAGGACAGCAGATGTTCTTCCCTTTGCAGAGTTTCCAATGGTCCAGCGTGTGCTTGACTACACACAATCTTTGAAAAATCCACTGGTCTGCATTGACCATAAAGTA